AGACGAGAAGGACATTTTTGGACTCTTCGCGAGCAGCGTGAAGCACTTCGATTTCCCGAACTTTGCGCGCAGTATACCCCACGACATCGGCAGTGCTTGCTGCAGCCTTCCCATCTCGATTGGTCTTTGCCCGTCGGGCCTTTGCATCGTCAGTAGAGAAGCTTATTCGCCACCATTGCCACTGATCGCCTGCACTTGGCTGTAGATCTGTCGCTTGCTCAGAGTTGTGGGGCGTGACGGGTCTGAGGACATAAGTTATATGTGGCTCAGTACATACGCCGCGCAACGTGTACCGATGTTGTGGTGGTTCTGTAGGTGATTCCGAGGGTTCAGTGAGGAACTTGGAGTAGTTCCGAAGCGTTTCGACAGCTTTCTGTTTCCTGTTCTCCAATTCTGCAATGTACATTGTCAGCTTATGCAATGAAACCAAAACTTTTAAACTTACCTTTCAGCTTGTCTTCGATTTCGCTTGAGAGATCTCTCAACTCTCCGGCCAATCTTTGCGCCTCGGCGTTTGCTGCTTCCGGTGTCAAAGCCAAGTCACCTACTCCATTGGCAAGGCTCTTGGGCAAAGTGAAAGATGCAGCAACGGCGGCTTTCTCGAGTATCTCCCTAGATCCAAGCCCTCTATGAAAGACCGATTTCGAGACAGAGAAGCGATTCATCAACGCTTCTAACTTGTTAATCTCTTCGTAAACTTGAAGCCGTCGCGCACGAAAATCACGCGCTAGGTCCTTGCAAGTGGCGAGGTACCGATCCGGGTAGAAGACCGCCGGTATCTTGACATCCACAGATTTCGCTGAGTCGGAGCTATCCAATTTGATCATCAAAACTTCAGCCACATGTTCCAGCCATACATCATCTAGCTCTTCCCCTGGTCTGTCAGACCAGATGGTCCGATCTAGCACATCGTAGAGAGTTTGACCGTGATCGGGCTCCACGAATGGGTCAAGGATAAAGAACTCTTTTTGGATTGGCGTGTCATACACCGAAAGGGGACGCTTGAGTGCGTTTGACGAGAACACTGTTGCCAACTGGTTTCCCGGATCCGCTCTGACGGCGGCTTCCTGCCATCTCTCCAAGAATTGACTGATGCCGCTTTCGGAGTCATAAGATACCATACTTTTCAGGCTTGAAAGAGCATCGACGCTACCGAATGCGCGGTTTGTCGCATCTAGAAAAGCAACAAGTCTTTGAGTTTCGTAAAGGATGTCGTCCCAAGCCGTGTCACCGTCTTGCGCATCTTGCATTGTGACTATTTTAGGCAAATTGATCGGCTGACCGTTCCACCACTGCGGATCATGACCGTACTTCGGGAGGACCTTATTTCGTAGAAGAAGAGCCTCTCGCGCCAAAGGGATTGAACGCAAAATAGTCAACAGCCCACCTAGGTACAGATTATCCTGGGATGGGCGAAGGAACGCCGGTTCGTCTGCTACCCTCCTGCGGTCCGCTGGGTCCGGGCTGATGATTATCTCTTGCGCACTCGAATTGAAAAGAGTCATCGCCCATGCGCCTTCATCGTAGTGATCCCGCGTGGCTTTGCCGAAATTCGATTGATTTGAGCTGGTGATTCCCATCTCCTGATGCCCCAGGTTCTGGTTCAATGACATTGCCACTGCTTCCTGAAGTTCACGCTCCTCCTGTTCAGCAAGTGTCATACTTGTTGCCTCCGCTACACCTGAAAATCCACCGTGTCAGCGAAGAGGCGCAGTCAGCCTTAATGAAGCACCCTACCTGCAGCGCTGTGAGCAGGACCCGTTTTATGCCCTTGATACTGAGTGGCCTGCGCCTGTTCATTCAAATTCGACATCGACGGGGGGCGCGAAGGAGGGACGCCAGAGGATGTTCCGACAACAGGGTCTGACTGTTCAATCTGGAAGGCTGCGAGGCAGGACTGTTAACATGGCCGCTATGTTAATATCCGGTGGACGTTGGTATGGACATACAGGGCACTCTCTCGTCATGTTGAAAACTACCTGCCTATAGCGTAGCAAGTCCGAGGTCAGTACCAGTCTCATAAAGCTCAATCATCTCCAAAAGTCACCTCTAATTGGGGCGGAGTCGGATCTTCAAAGTATGCGTTGATAGCTTTATTTGAGTTGAGGTCATTGGCCTTCAGAGTGCCTGATGTCAACGTGCAACATATAGAAGGGTGGCCTATGATATCTGCTCACCTTCAGAAATCGTATTGCATGCTCCCGCGATGTGCTTGTGAAGTTCACAAAGTTCGTGATAGCTTCCTCTGACGGTTCGGAGGCCATGCCGTAGCTCGCACACAGAAACTGCAGAGGATTGCAGACGAAAGATTGGCGATGAGAGCAACCAGAGCCTAGTAAAGAGTAATGAGATCAGAAAAGAACGAGGGCTCAATCAAGGAGCTGGTAAGTGGGGAGTCTGTTTGTTTGGAATCTCTGGTTGTCTCCAGTTAAGCTTCCCCACCACATGACATCCGTCAGCCAAGCCCACTTCCATTGCCATCTTGAGGAGGCCTGGGTTTACAAGAAGGAACTTTCACTCAGCTAACTGTCTTTCGCGTCAGAAAACAAGGAAAATCCCAGTATAAAAGAAACGATCAAAGAATCGTTCAATTTTTGGGAAAATCCATAATAGAAACTCAGGCTGGACCGCAATGATAAGAATAGGAACAAAGGAGGTTCTTTTTCACTGTCCTTATGGACGTAAAGGGTACTCAAAGAACCCTTTGAATGAGATGTTTCAGATGTCACAATTCCAAGGATCATTTTCAATGCTTTATTTTGCTTTCAATATCATACAACATAGGAATTGACATTTAATCCCTTGTGCTTTCTTCCTCAACGCTCGCTCAACATCTTCGTTGTTGATACTGAAACCGACAACTGGCAGTCAACAACATCAAACCTCGTCCTCATTCTGCGATATTCTATCGGCTTCAAGTTCAAGGCTTCAGGTAAGCAACAAGGCACAATGACAGAGAAGAGACGAGCGCCCGACGACTGTGTGGTGGCCCTGGGAGAGCGACCTGAGCCCGAAACGTTCAAGAAAGTACGATTCCAGCTTCCTCAGAATGAAAAAGGCATTCCTGAGAAAGACGTTCCAGCTACAAATACAGATGACGAGCTGATGGCAAGAAGGCGTGTAATGCGTGTGAACGAGCTGGTTCACGATATTCTGGCTGCTATGTACTACGACATCCATCGACTCTGCTGGCTCCGCAATCACCTCATGCAGAACCGTATCGAACGCTATCCGGACCTACATTTCTACAAAACCCAGCATCAAGAAGCAACCTGGCTATTAGACAGAGCTATTCGCCAGGAAATGCTTGCGAAGGTAGGCCAGACAAGCGGTCACGATTGGACTTACACATCGAAGCAGGAAGCACACCGTGTTGGCCAATTCATTCGACAATTGAATTGGAGGATATTGGCCATTTGTACACTCTCAGAAGCCTTCCGGCTGGCATTGTATAACGAAGATCAAAAGGTCTGGGCAGCTTTGATGCTCAAGATCAAGGAAAACCGGGTCAGCATTGACGTCTTTGCGCAGTCGCGAGGCTTGGACTGGCAAGGCCAGCTATTGAAACATGCGGACAAACAGATACCGGGGCTCCAGCACGCACTGATCCCGAGGAGCCATGTGGCTCATGACCACTTTCATCATATGGTCCTTGCAAATGGCTCTCTTCGGAGACTTGTGTACGAAGGGCAAAGCCAGATCAACATCAGCCATGGGAATATATTCAATCCCAGCTACTTCAAAGACAAGAAAGACCCCACGATCCGCGTTTCCGGCCGCGACGGACCTTGCGATCTCTGTTATGCAGAGCGCGAATGCAATTGCAGGATACCTCGCCCGAGTCTTGCAATGTTTTTGGTTGAACTTATTGACTACCCTCATAAAGGAATTGGAGTAAGAGCTCTGGCCAGATTCAAGAAGGGAGAGATCCTCGACGAGTATGTCGGGGAGCTTCGGCCTGTAGACTACAAGGATGATCGTGTATACGCTCTGCTGCACGAATCCAAGATGACTGAAGGCCATCCACTCGCTTTGATATCGGCGAAACGGCATGGGAATTGGACTCGGTACCTTAATCACTCTTGCAAGCCGTCGACGACGTTTCTAAAGATGACTGTCGGCAAGAGAACCATTATGGCTGTCCAGGCAGTCAGGGATATTGACATTTTCGAGGAGATTACTGTTGATTATGGCACGGGCTACTGGAAGAATAGGAAGTGTCTTTGTGGGGAGACTGGTTGTTGCTCGCAGGCTGCCACCCAAGAGGAGACCGAGGCTTGAATCTTGAATTCTCATCAACTTTTCTCGTTAGTGCATTGATTTTGTACTTTACAGCACTTGTCGTGTTTGTCATGTTTGGGTGATTGCGATTAATATTCAAGTGGGCACTATTATACGGGTGGATTCGAGCTGCTACCCAGAGGTATTGTACCTAATGATCGAGTTGTGGGTTTGGTATTTATTTGTCTTTGGTTTACTGCTTCGGCTAGCCTCGGACCCCACTAAGTGAGATTCTAATGCCTTCAGATAGTGTAAGCCTAGTGACCCTAGCTTACTCCACTAGGACGGAGCCATTATGCTACCCCATAGTAAACTAGTCTACTTGACACGAAGTATCTAGTCGATCACTAGTTGTCAACAAGGGGTCGATGCTTTCCTCGGGAATAGTGACCTCTCATCATCAACCCCGCATTTGCTGCAGCCGGCACGTGCGGGGGAAGCATTAAGGGAGCTTCACCCAATATGAAACCAAACAGCCAAACTCACTCTCTCAATCCTTGTATGATTCCAAATGAATCAGTGTTGCTCGTCAGTATCCTTTTGATTTCTCGAGAAGTCTTTCAATAGAAGTGAACAGAAGAGAGAAGCATTGTATCTTGCTAACCCTCAGAACAGATCCGAAGGAAGGGGTTGTATACAGGATAGCTGAGGGCTCGATTCACTGTGGCCTCCGATTCTATACTCGCCTCAGCTCGCAAAAGTTATGAGCTATCGATAGCATGCGCATGTTTACAGTGCGTCGCGCGGCGATTGTCACTCGTCAGAACTGGGGTATTGGCTTCTCTTTGAGGGCTCTCCCAAAAATACCTTCAGCACGACGAGGGCTGCTTACTCAGAGCTATGCTTGTGGACCAAGAGAGGTGAGTACGCGTTATGGTATTAATAGTGACTATCTGAAGCTGGCTGACATTACCTTGATAATTAAGCCACCTTTGATTGACTCAACTGTTGGAGACCACTTCGCCAGTATTGTCAGCCAATATGGCGATAGGGAAGCGTACGTGAACCTGATCTTGCGCGTCGATCATGCTAGAATTGAGCCACATGGTTGACTCTTGTGCATTTAAAGCGTCATATCAAAGCATCAGAATCACAGACTGACCTACGCCTCACTCGATGCCAAAAGTAATGCCCTTGCGCGGGGACTGGAATCTGTGGGTGTGCGGAAAGGGGACCGTGTCGGCATCATGCTTGGAAATTCCTCGGAGTATGCCATTGTATGTCGTCTGTCTTCTAGGCCTTCCCATGAGCTGCGTTTGTTGCTGGAGATTAACCACACCTGAGTCTTGCAGGCGACCTATGCATTGTTCAAACTCGGAGCCATCCTGGTATGTTTCAAGATGAACGACCGATTCCGATAAACAGTTGTCCGCTAAACCACGCCTTCAGGTACCGCTTAATCCTTCGTTTAATGCAACTCAAGTCATCTCGGCGTTGAGCCATCTGGGAGCCGCCCATTTGATCATCAGTGCCGAGTCCAATTTACCGCGGAAAGACCCCCGGAGCAATGTCCCACTACTCAAGCACCTTATTCAGGATCTCCACACAGGAAAATTAGAGTCCGCAGTGGTGCCTTCACTGAAGAACGTTATTTGTGTTGACAACTCTTCCGGCAGAGTCAAATGGTCGGACTATAAGAGCCTGACGCCTTTCACATCGGTCATATCCGACAACGTCGCTGATGCGAATCCACTGCCTCCTCAGGATCTCTCGCCTAACGATGTAGTGAACATCCAATTCACGTCAGGCACCACCGCCATGCCCAAAGCAGCATGCCTGAGCCACCGCTCAATCTTGAACAATGGTTCTCAGATTGGCGATCGAATGCGGTTAACCGCAAATGACATCGTATGCTGTCCTCCACCCTTGTTCCACTGCTTCGGATGCATTCTGGGCTACATGGCAACTGCTACTCATGGCTCTGCCATTGTATTCCCCACAGAATCATTCAACGCCTGTGCCACTCTGAAAGCCGTGCAGGAGGAAAAATGTACTGCACTTTACGGCGTGCCTACCATGTTCCTTGAAGAGCTCAGCCTGCTTCAGGACGGCGAAGTAGAACACAAAGGTTTTGAGTTTCTCCGGACAGGCATTGCTGCTGGTAGTAGTATTCCAGAAGCACTCATGAAGAAGCTGCACAAGGTCCTCAATCTCACAGAATTAACTATCTGCTACGGCATGACAGAAACTAGCCCCGTCTCAGCTATGACAGCAACCGATGACCCATTAGATAAACGGATTAGTACTGTCGGTAGACTGATGCCTCATGTTGAAGCCAAGGTCGTGGACCCAGCGGATCGAAGCAAGATCCTTCCCATCAATACCCGGGGTGAGCTGGCTGTGTCTGGGTACTTGCTAATGAAGGAGTACTGGGGTGATCCACACAGGACCGCCGAAGTGATGATCGCAGACCAAGAAGGGAAGATCTGGATGCATGTAAGCCACCCCTAACCAACTGCGTTCCTAGTCTCTAGGCACCATAAGGTAGCAAGATGTCTGACCGAGGACCATAGACTGGCGACGAAGCCTCCATGTCACCGGATGGCTACATCACGATCACGGGCCGTATCAAAGATCTCATCATCCGAGGAGGCGAGAACATTCACCCTCTAGAGATCGAGAACTGTCTCCTTACCTGCCCCGGCGTGGCCGATGTGTCTGTTGTTGGTGTTCCAGACGAGAGATACGGCGAAGTAGTGGCTGCGTTCATCATTTGCAAAGAGCAGGATCGCAGGAGAGTGACAGAGGACAAGATCAGAGAGTGGGTTCGCGAGCGACTGAGTAACCACCTCGGTAAGCATCTCCTATCTTTTTCACCTAGCGGCAAGACATCCTTAATACCTCGATATGCTAACCAGAACCATCCTGCTAATAGTTCCGAAATATGTTTTCTTCCTTTCACATTCCGATTCTTTCCCCAAGACTGCGAGCGGCAAAGTTCAGAAGTTTAAGCTGAAGGAGACTGCCATCAAGATTTTGAAAGAGCAGAGCAATGCTAATTAGACGATGGAGAGAGCCTGAGGTTTTCCTAGAACCTTTTGAGTGATACGATTGCTTTCCACTAGAGGACTTAAGAGGAGCATATCTTTCGCATTGAACATCTTCTTTGCCATTTCTCACTCATCTTGACCATCGTAACGGCTGTCCTGAGCTGAGTAGTACTCGAATAATCTGGATATCATTACAGAAATATTGACTTAATGCTTGAAATCCAACCATAGTAATTTCTCTGTACCGAGACAAGGCAAGTAGCCATTCTCGAAAAATTGTAGCAATTATATGCAGGCGAAGCAAAGTCAATCCCAAGACAATATTCAAATCAGTTACATGTACAAACACGAGTGGCTGAACAGTCTGCAGAAAGATGCTTGAATAACACACGCAAGCATCGCGCTAGATATAGCGCTGGAAGATACCTTTCTTTGCCGGGGGTAAATGATTGTGGACCTTTCGATAAACTATGCCATCGAATTCCTCAAAGCAATTAGACGGCTTCCCTGGTTCCGGGCAACAGCATTCAATCCTCTTGACCCAGCGATCATTCATCACATCGCAAATGGTAGCCCGTCTCTCTGGGATAGGATGGAGCATCCGTAACATAAGACGCAGAAGAGGTTTTGTGCGAAGATCCGAGAAGAATTTCCCGATTTTAGGATATACATCCCCTGTGATAATTCGGTCAGGCTCGCTTCTCAAGAACTCTTTCCACCATTTGAGATAGCGAGAATACCCGGCGTCCTTTTCTTCTGCTGCGCCCCACGGCGTACCGCAGTGGATCATGGCAAGGCAAACGATGGCACAAGACCATATGTCGACCAAGCGCGGGTCGTAGCTTCCTGGGGATCGAACGACGGTTAGGAGACCACAACATAAGGTAGCATAGGGATTGCAGGGGTACTTACGGTCTTCTGCCAGAACTTCTGGTGCAATATATGGCAGGCTGCCACAAACACCAGGGCCACATTTGCGAATCTTACCAAATACTTCCGCGCATCCCCCGTCATTTAACCGCAGATCTCGGCGGAGCTCACTGAAGACTTTGGCGCATCCGAAGTCGGTGATCTTTAAGTGACTGTCTCCCGTCAAGAGCAGGTTTTCCAGTTTGATATCGCGGTGCGCAATTCCAATGCTATGTAAATATGCGACGCCTTGGAAGAGTTGTTTGAACAGGCACAGTTGACTTTCAAACGAAAGATATCGTTGTTGCACGATTGTAAACAAGTCCCCTTGACTGCAGTATTCCATAACATGAGACCAACGGCCTGCGTGGGAGCAAAGACGAACAGTCTCCACGACATTAGGATGATGCAAGTTCCTGGCGATGCTGAACTCGAGTTTGACCTTTCTGTCGTAAGCTTGCAGGCTCTCCTTGCGACTTCTGCGGAATTCCTTCACCGCATAATAGTGCTGCTTTCCGGTCCCTTTTCCGTGCATTAATTTGACAGTAGCCGTGACACCTTTACCAATGACCTTGCCCCGTAAGCCAGGAATGATGCTGATGTCGACAAATTCGTCACCGAGTTTGCAGCTATCAACTGTGAAAGCCCCGGGAAGAGTTGAATCTGCAAGCGGAGACTTGCCTTTCCCGTCAACTAGAATTGAAAAGTCCGGTATCTCGAAGTGGTCGGGGATTGTGCCCCATGTGCGAGATTTAGCGAGAACCAGAGAACTGTCTGAGCGAGAAGCAAGGCGACGATCTGACCCCTCAACTACGCACGAAGATGATGACTCGAATGGTTCGTTGACGCCTAGATGAAGATGAGTTAGATATTCGCAAGACATAATCTCAAGTGGCCGCACAAATTCGCGGGATGAAGATTTTACATACTATTGGTGTCGTTCTTGGTAGAGATGTTGAGAGCAGACTGCATAGCCGACTTGTGTACGTCATTAACTTTAGTTTTTAAAAGACGAAATATACCTGTGAGTGACATAGAGGCGAGGCTGAGCGGCGCTTGCTTGGGAGCCGGATTGCTAAATGACGAAGATGATGAATGGGGCTGAGGACAGCTGAAAACCGACTGAGGTGATGTCGAGGATGTGGTCCCCGTCTTCGCAGTCTTCAATGTATCGATGCCCAAGGAGCTTCTTTCCTTCCTCGAAGGTCCGGCTTCATTCGAGTCGCATGGCACGACGTCGGACTTCTTATATGCCCGAACTCTGCAATTAAAGCTGTCTGTTTCGGTGCTACATTCAGAGCGTCCAGTATGGATACCCCCTGCTATGATTTGTTGAGTTGACTCTTCAGAACAAAAGGGGTAATAGTAGCCTGGCTCATGGCCTTGCGTCACTTTTCTGTCAGAGGGTGAGAAACCCCCAGACTCAGTCATCGTCCGTACTGTAGTTGCTCAAGAAAAGGAACAAGGAGTAGCAGACTGATAAGGATATGAGGTGAATAAGTGTACTAAAGTATAATGTAGCGAAGACTTGTTCTTTGGATGATCAGGAAAGCGCGAAGGTAACTGCGAGAGAGAAAGAGGTGAGGAAGGAGAGGAAAAGAGTAAGATGGATGAGGCGAGGGTGGGCGAAGTCGTGCCGCCGACTCGAGGACGTTATCTCATCATTGCACCGACACTTGGGAGTCATATTGCTTGCCTAAGGCACGACATCACGACATTATGCTCGCATTTCCTCATCAGAGATACATGACTGAATATTCGGCATATATTGACAGAATGTGTGCACATAGCGCACTATCGGTCGCTTTCCAGGAAGCGCTTAAATCGGATATCTTGCTACCTGACTCGATGAAGCATGGAGTAGGTAGGTTGAGTCAGCGAGGGTAAGACGCCGTGTATGATCTTTGTCGAGACGACGAGTTCTTGTTCACTGATCAGAGCACGACCAAAGTCCAGTAAATTGAGGCATTCATAATATGCAAGCAATCAACCATCCGTTGGTCTTGCCAAGTGAGCCCATGGGCAGGTAAGAAAGTCTCGGCATTTCCCGACTGGCCGACTCCAGGTATTGACAACTAACAGCAATCCCTTAGATGCGATTATAGCATTCCGTGGGAATAGAATACCCATACCATGCATTCAGCAGCTTTCCTGGCCGTCACCGCTGTTCCGGCGGCACCGATACAAGGAACTGCAAACTGCTAGAAGCGCATTCCATTGCTTGCAGCTTGAATGGTTGAGTGCCAGCCTTGCGCGGCGCACACGGATGTGGGAGTCACTAAGCCTGGCGATTTCGCTCTTTGGTTGATCGAAAACCCGCCCGAATGCTCAAATCTCATCGTCAGAGAGGGCAACTCAGGGTCATTAACCGTTCAAAAATCCTGTATGCCTGTCTCTCCCTGCAAGCGGGACTTGATATTCCCATCGTCAGCCCCCTCAACCATCCATTCAGGCTCTTCGTCGTCAAAGTAACGTTCCTGCTCCTCAGTCCAGTCATCATACTCGTCATTCTCGTCAACTTGCGTATAGTCAAAGTCGCAGTCTTCCCCTTTCAGAAAGCGCATCGTCATTTCGCAGCGCCAAAGCTTTTCAGCTTCCTCTCTACTTGTGGGTATCTCGTCCGCGTCCTCCGCAATGATCTCCCCGCTTGGACCACGACTATAGCTGAACATCGCATTGGGATTGGGATTATGGAGAGCATCAAGCTTGGCCTCCGAGCGTTGCAAGTCCGCTTGAAGAATACCGGAGAACCCTTTCGCTCTCCCTTCGGCTTCTCTTTCTGCAGGTGTTTGGAACCGGCGGATTAGTCGATCGTATAGCAACGGGTCTACAGGAGCTGAATATTAGCATATGAGGCCTCTTATCCAAAGAAGCCATCAGTCTCTTAAGCAAAACGAGGATAGAGCAAGCGGACCGGCGAGCTCGAGATCAGCGGAGAAGTACTCCGGATGCATGTCCAGATAGCGCTTGCGACGGTTTTTCACTCTCATGGCAGGGGACGGTTGCACTGAGCTGGACTTGATGTTCCGCTGTGCGCGGTCTGACTCCATCTCGAATCCAGTGCCCTTGGGGAAGTGAGGCATGTCTGCATGCAAATCAACGATCGGTGACTAACATATGTGAGAACGAAAAGGCAAGATGACGAAGTGGTGTTGAAAGAGCCAAAAGAGCCACGAGCAGCTGTTTTGAGACTAACCAGTTCGAGTAATTCCCAAGAATTACTGCGGAACGCTGCGGGCGGGCAAATTCCCTTCGTCTCCGCCGCCATCAGTCCACCAGCGAATAACAACCCACAGACGGCCAGACGATGGATATTCGGCATTCTATCTGAAAAGAGGTCATGTAAGAGCTATCTACTCCTTTTTGTTTCATATTTGCCATTCTGGTCCTTACACTGTGCCTCTTCTTCTCCTTTTGGGCTGCCATCTCTTATCGGTGGTGTCTTGTTCGCATCTTTTACTGTTCGAGGTCGAGCGCGATGCTATCATATTGAAATAGCCAGGCCCTTACGTTGAAGCCTTGCAGATTCGCCGCAGCTGATTACATCGACAGTTGGATAGAGAGCCGAAACAGACACGTTTTGGAAGCTCAACATCATGTCTTCTCTCGGAGGAATGCTCCAGCAAGTCAAGCTTGAAAAGCTTCTGCCAGGTGTAGCATTGCTGTTCCTCACTGCTTTCTATTCCCCTGTCTTTCTCTTGACACTGTCTCCGGTTTTTGGCTCTGCGCCTTCCCATATCTTTCACGGGTATGGAGTAGCTGTCAGTGCCGCTGCTGGCTGGTTCTTGAAGGACGTGATCCATCGGCTGTCTGGTCGCAGAGCAGTATATTTGGTCCCTGTTCTCGCATTCTGGGTACCGACCATCCAGTACTTCATGTTTCACCAGAGCTCATCTTTCGGGAATCCAACTGGCCCGCTAATTATTGATATATTTACCTTTTACCCTCTGGTACTCCTTTCTGTGGCTTGCGCCGGGAAACTTTTTCAGGCGGGCGTGAACATGAGCCAGCATGGAGACCTTATGACAGAGCATATTCCCCTTCTCGGATCCTATATTATCTACTCCGCAGGAGAATATTTCTCAAAAGCGTTTATCTCGAAGAGTATTGGCTTGGCCTTCTTTCTGAGCCGTGGCGGCCTTCAATTACTAATTGCGAGCTTGTATTCGGCTACCATCCCATCTAAATGGCTTGTATTAGCGCTTCCATCTATTCTCTTCTCTCTCACGTCTAATGTGCACATGCCCTTCGGCCGCACAACTGCCGCTTTGAACTCTGCTATTCAAGTGGAAGGTTATGAGCTTCTCGCTAGACAGGATTCTTCCACCGGGTACATATCTGTTTTGGAGAACTTGGAAGATGGCTTCCGAGTGATGCGGTGTGACCATAGTCTTCTTGGTGGTCAATGGACAAAGATGCCGCGCAATTACCATCCCGAGGTCAAGGACCCCATCTATGCTGTGTTTGCTATGCTCGAAGCCATCCGTTTGATCGAAACCGACCACGGCGAGGCGCGCGTGGACGCCAACAGCAAGGCTCTCGTCATGTAAGGAACCATATCACGACGCCAATCTGTGGGGGCAAGGCAGTCAGCTAACTGGACTTTCTTAGTGGACTCGGGGTAGGCACCACCCCCGCTGCCTTGATTACGCACGGCATCGAGACCACAATCGTGGAGATTGATCCGGTTGTGCATAAATTCGCCACGGAATACTTCCATCTACCCTCCAATCACATTGCGGCTATTGAAGACGCTACAGTATTTGTGAAGCGTGCCCAGGAATCCCCAAATCCTGCTCAATATGACTACATTGTCCACGATGTCTTCACTGGCGGGGCGGAGCCAGTCGAGCTCTTCACAATCGAATTCATCAAGGGTCTATATGACCTATTGAAAGACGATGGTGTTATTGCCATTGTAAGACCCGCCCCTCCATTACCAACTCCGTCACCTCATGACTGACGATATCTACAGAACTACGCCGGCGATATCTCACTTTACCCAGCCGCACTCACGGTGCGCACAATCAAGGCAGTCTTCCCGTCGTGCCGAATCTTCCGCGAAGACGCAGCCGCGGATGCCAAATTCGATTTCACCAACATGGTGATCTTTTGCAAGAAGAGCAACACATCCCTTCGCTTCAGGGATCCAGTCAAAGCCGATTTTCTGGGAAGCAAGTCTCGTCAACACTACCTTGTGCCCAAGCACGAGGTGGACCCAGCCCAATTCGATACGGTTGAGAAGGGCGGAAGACGTGTTCTGGTTGCAAAGGAAACGGGCCGTCTTCATAAGTACCAGGATCGTGGTGCAATTGCCCATTGGGAGATCATGAGGACAGTCATGCCGGATGCGGTCTGGGAGAATTGGTAAGAAGATTTACATACGTGTATGTATTACTATCGATCTTCTGAAAAGTCAATTGCTTGCACAGCTTTGTTGTGAAGAAAAGATTGTCCGACGTATTTCAAAAAGCTCCGGCTCATCCTCATGTTCATGAAAGTACGCGACGTATCATGAGCTTGAAAAAAGTCGGAAAGACATTGCCAATTCCTTTGCAGCTAGGCGTCACGAAAAACTGTACCTCGCAGATTTTCCTGAGACAACCCAACAGTATCACTATTGGTGGTCATATTATGATATCATTCGGTTGGATAGAATATAGCTCCGCAGATAGACAAAGGGAATATGTGCTAGTCAGATATGTCCCCCAGCTCTTAAGACTCCTAATCCACCGTAACAGGCTATTCTGGTATCGAAAACAAAGAGCGTCGCCAAGCCGATATGCTCGATCCTTGGAGTATGTACTGGACGGGAACGATAAAAGTACAATTAAAAGGGTCGCTCAACTCAACTCGCCGGTATTTCAAGCCGACGGACTTCCGCGCGGACTCGTTCCAGGTTTCTTGACCAAGCCTGCAAAGAAATTCGCCAGCGCTTGATTGTGTGCCTTTTCGTCCCCCGGTGACGAAACAACCTCTTTTCTCTGGACTCGGCTAGCCTCTCTCTCCTTGGAACGATTAGCAAAAGGTCTGAAGCACATCTTCGTTCAAATTAATTCGGTAGCTTACTTTGAGTTTCCGCAGCATGTCGTCAGCGTCGACCTGGATACCTCCCATGTTGAATTGCACCGGCCCAATGTGCTCGTTAACCCGACCGTTATCTTCCAAAGGCGACATTTCAAGTTGAGGCACTTGTTTCGTGGCACGATCCTTCTCATCTTCCTGCTTCAGCTGCTCCAAGACATCTAATTGTTTGGCAAGGAAGCTCTGCATGTCCAGCGTCTCCACTTCAATCTTATTCGCGCTATTTTGGCTTCCGGCATGCGCCATCGCGGTATTGCGCTTCGGATCTGTGATCGTTTGTTCGAATATTGTCACAGCGCTGGTCCCGTCTTCGGCTCCCATTGCGCTGTCGTCCTGAGGTTGATCGACTGTTCCAGTGAGTGGCTCGGGAGGGTCCTGGATTTCAATTGACCAAGCAGTTGATACACCTTCCATATCAAAACCCTCTCTGATGATTCGAATCTTGCCCCATGAATCCCAATTCGGAGGCACCAAAATCTTGTCTCTATCAATCACATTGTGCTTAAGCGATTGTCGCTTCAGCAACGAATGTATCCCAAGGGACGAGTGTATCAAGCTCTGAAGGGAGTTTGCGAGGAACGGGGTGGTATATATTAACGATGCGCCATCTGCTGGCAGTTAGCACAACTTCTCGAGAGCATTTAGGCGAATGGACACACTCACGTTTCAGAAGAATGGTCCTCATAAACTGAAGGATGAAGTCAAACTCCTCTTCACGCCATCCGTGATCCTTCTCCAGTTTCTCGATCTTATCCGCCTGTTTAAGTAGCGATCAGCCCGGTGTTCTCCGTTCACCATGGTATAGTATCACATACTCCTTGACAAACCACACACATGGGGATCCCAAGCCCCTCATCCCATTCACCAGGGCCGAGCGGTATCGTCACTGGTCCTCCGGAGCTGGCCAATCCTTGCGCTCCGGAATCCATGCCCCTTTTTCGGTCCTTCCATTCGGTCATGATCTCTTCCATTACAATCTTTGTCTCATCGTCAAGGGAGATGAGAACATGTCGCAACAAACGAACCCATTCCCGCAATCTCCGAACCCATGTCCAGGGGTCCGACCAGTCGAGTAGGATTACGACTAAAGTTTCTGGGACTGATTGAGGAGTTAAGAGTGGCTTGAGGAGCGGTGCAAAGGACAAGGACGGTTCGGAAAGTAGATATGCAGAGACCCGAGCCAAGGTATCTGAGGCGAAAACGACTGGTTAGCCCATCATCATCACAAAAGCCCGATCGATGGTAGCAGTGTGGGGTAAAGACTGAAGAGAGGCCGAATTACCTTCCTGGTCGGCATCCAGGACGTCATGATATGTGTATCCTAATGCAAATTGATTGGCGACTGGCGGCAACCTTCCCCTACGCTTCTCGCTGATCAAAGTAGGATCCGAAGCGTCCACGGATAGTGTCTCTATAAACTCCCTCTGTGATTCGGGTGTTCCTCCTGCAGTGAATTTGTTGATCAGCAAGCCGGTTCTTAACTTCAACTACAACCAAGAGATTATAGAAAACAAATTAGAAGACTGCGCACCTAATATCAAAAGATTCTTCTCAGGCAAGCGCTTTCCATTTGCGACACTGTCCAGCATGGACGACCAGATGTTTTTCTTGGGGCCATCTTTACTTGACGGTCGACTATTATTTCCAGACATTATGTCCAAGATCGACCCTGCTCAACCTGTGCTGACCATTCCAACTAGTTGAGGTCTTTATCAGAGCTCCGACCTGCTTAACGCGTCGATATTGAGGTCTTGCGCACGCGGAAGGGAAAGAGGCGGACAGTGTCAGGGGATGTTCAATCTTGATGCTGTAGCTTGTATTCCTGCCCGCAAATCGACGGATGAATCGAACTTGAGAGTAAGAGATATAGTCAACAGGTTAAGTCCAGAAATGACCAGTTCTAATAGTAAATAGAAGTTCTCCTTTAGAGCAAATGAAAGTCAAACTGCTTAGATGTAAACAATGTTTCATAATATTATGAGTTTCCCGCTCCGTCTTTGCGGGTGGGACCTTGCGCGGAGCCCACCCGTGATACCATGACCTAGGAGCTTTTGCGCTACCTCGTTATCTTCACGTTTCCCAAAGAGTAGATACAACAACCTCTCAACTACGAAGGTCGACTATGAACGCTATTCGTCAAACTCAAGCGCTCAACAAGCGCGAACTTGAAAATGCAGTGTACGTTCTTTATATTCTGAATCTTACAGCTTCACCTTACTGACGTGATTGAAATTTCCTAGCCCACCTGAAGCTTCCTGGCACGCAGATTATCGGGATACGGCATATATTTACATCGGGGGCCTGCCATTCGATCTCTCAGAAGGCGACATTATAACAATATTTTCACAGTACGGAGAGCCAGTACATGTGGATTTGATACGGGACAAAGAAACCGGGAAGAGTCGAGGGTTCGCGTTCCTGAAATATGAGGACCAGCGCAGTACAGACTTGGCTGTAGATAATTTGACCGGGGCGACAGTCTTGGGCAGGGTGCTTCGAGTGGACCATGCGAGATACAAGAAACGTGACAACGAAGAAGACGAGGATAACGTTGCGAAACTAATGGGCGAGACTACTGGTCGGAACGCAAGGGATGAGGATACTGATGACGAAGGAAGACGCAAGAAGCGAAGGTCCAGTGAATCCAGAGAGGATGAGGCGCGGAGTAGGCCCCTGCTCAAGGAAGAGAGAGAACTTCAGGAGTTGATGATGAACCATGACGACGAGGACCCTATGAAAGAATATCTCATTGAAGAGAAGAAGGAGGAAGTCGCGCGAGCTCTTGAACGGTTGAACAAGGAGAAAAGGCATTCTCGCAGGCGAGATTCAAGTCGGGAGCGATCGAGCCGCCATCACCGCCATCGTCATCACCGTCACCGAGATGAGGATCGATCTCGTTCTCGGGAACGGAGGCATCGCCGTGACCGGTCATTATCCAGAGAGGAGCGTGCCCACAGAGACAGATCGTTATCGCGGAGAGAAAAATCTCACAAGGAGAGATCGCCTGTGCGCTCCCGATCCCCAGTACCACGAAGGGATCGTGAAAGAGACGATCGTCGACGTTGATAAGGATCAAATGGTCAATGCGCCTGCCCGTTTCCTAGTGATAAAAGAGGAATATCGAAGCAGGCATCAACTTGCAGTAGAACGAACTTCAAACCGCTTCCTCGGAACTCCTGATTGGGGCTAGTCAGCGTACAAAACGTCCTGCGCATCTTCATCGATGCAAGAACGAAATCGGCGTGGTCAACTCTATCAATACTTCCCATATTGTTCGAATGAAATCGCTGGAACAGGAACAAGTTTTCGAGGAATGACAGTTTCAACTATTACATTACCAGGTGCTTATCTTCTATATTGTGCATCAATTTCAACCCGTGATATCAATGCAGGGAGAAAGGAGCGGCCTCAACCGGCCCCGAGATATCGTTTCCAACCCTCTCTCACGCAATGCCGCTTCCCATTATCCCCTTCGCGAATCACAAATTTCTCCCATCGCCCATCTCGGCCAGAGCCTACCACAAGTATGGTCCGATCGTCGGGCCAGCCTAGGACGCCTTTTGACGGTCGTGCAAACGATGTTCCTAAAGGGGGAACGTAGAGTGACCCTGGCGGCGATTCTTCGCCAATCTCGAAATGCGCACTCGCGAAAGAATATACGTCAGAGAACACTCGCGGGAGCAAGGGAATCTTGCCTAAGATTCCCCATTTCTGGTTTGTCGCTTCCTCCAACGGCGAGGAAGGTGACTGGCTTCGGCGGGCCTGATTTCGTGGATGGGGGATATCGAACAGATGGAGTGTAGACTTATCCGACGTGACAGCTAATATATTGTTCGAAGGTGAAATCGCAAGTGAGAAGATCACCGCATGGTCAACTCCTCGTCGCAGTTCAGCCATCTTTGTGCAGTTGCTCGTAGAAAAGACTCGTATCAATGTACCCTGACAGTAACAGGTCAACCATGTATAGACTTCGTCACAGAAGGGGGCGATTATAGTACCGCTTCACTCGCTGTTGCCAGCACTTCACCGTCGGGACTTAACGCCATGGCACGCAACGGCGTACTATGAGCAGGTATGATGCTGACATTTCCCGTTTCCAGCTCGACGATCTGCACCTGCCCTGGAGATCTCCCTGGAAAAGCGAGTAACTTCTGCCCTAGGCATGCCAGACCGATCGGGTTGTCGGTCGTTTCGAAAACCGAGAGCTTCTGTGGAGGATTGGAAAAAGCGAAAATGTGTATACTATTCAATAAAGCCACAACGATTCGCGATTTCGACAAACGGACACCAAGGACGGACGTACGGAACTCGAGTGTTATGACTGCTTTTTGTTTCGCATCGTCCCAGATCACCAACTGCAAAGAGTCTCACGATTCAGCTTCACCAAAATAGGCAAGCCGTCCAAGATCGAAAGCTGCGCACCTTGTTCTGAGGAAATTTGGGATTTCTTCCTCCACCAACAATAGCCAGGTAGTTTGACTGGCCTAGCATTACCACTACGCCTATTCCAGCATTGAAATCTGCATTGTCATGAAGAAAAGAAAAGTTAGAAACGGAGCAATCTTCAGGGGAGGATGGTACGTACCCCGTGATACTTTTAGCTCACATGGATTCGCATTGAAGACTGTGGTTGATCGATCAAAATTTAGCTGTGCTGGCTTTGCGACGCAAATCTTCCCAATGCTTTTGATGACTGGGAGCCAACTCTTACCACAAAATCCGGTATCCAAGCCAACAGAAAAGCAGCTATTGTCACTATTAAAGCTAGCAGAAAGAGAATATGGCCCCACGGACTCATCGATAACCTGTCGAGTATCCATAGTGATAGGCGATGACAGGAGCCATTAAGGAGAACCTCTAGGTACTAGGTAATACTCGGGAGGATGGGAATCACTGTCGATGGAACAATATTTGCTACTGCGCGCTGAATGAAGAACAGACAAGAGTAACGCCAGGAGAATACTGTCAACTCAGGAACGCCTCGATGTTGAATGAAGCATTTTGGATCGGACCTTGTGATGAGGCCGCCGGGCTAAGGCCTCGGAGCAATGACGAAACGTTTCAAGCTCCCCCAGACACAAAGCGGAGGACTAACAGTAGATACGGAGTAGTGCCTGAGGAATCCGCAGTTGGCGGTTATCATCACATGATCAACTACTGCTAATATCTAAGGATGTTCTCGTTCAAATTTGGAGCATGTACTTAAGCGACTACCAGTAAGAACAGGGTCTTTGTGCTAGCGTTTGGTGTCACATACAATGTCGAGCTCGTCTCATCACTAGGTCCGATAATGAAACTCTCAACAAGCACCGCAGGTATCCTCGCCTCTCACGCATGAGCCGTCGACATCAGTTTTTTCAGTCGGGTACTCGACACAAGTGTAGAGCTAGGCTACCTCTAGAAACCGGTGTTATTCTGCCATACCGGCCAGGGGTAGAGAAGATGATGCTTTGCTAGGAATCCTTTCAAAGCGTCCATGACCTGCTTTGACTGATTGTTTCAGAATGGATAAGATTGTTCATACAGTTGAGCCACCTCAGCCAGCTTCTGTTGGCAGAAACTCTGGAACGAATCCCGAGTTTGATCCTGTATATGGGTACTTCGATTTATGATCAGTCTTAATGAGGTATCCATTGTTTTCAAGCTCAGCATGGTGCCGTGTCCGTGTTTGCCTCAGGCAAGAACAAAAGGATTCAGACAGTACGGGATAAGAAACCTTAGGCTTGGACTTTTGATACAATAAATTACTAAGGTATACGCTGCATAGAGCCAGATAGACCCACCACCGCACTGTATCAACCCCTGAATTGATGGATCTTTGAGCGCCGCTGCGCATTACCTAGGTAGGTATCTCTTTTACATGATCTAGTTCAATAATAAAATGACATTTTAGAGATAATAAGTTACTGTTTAAATCGCTGCTGCAGAGAAAGGTGCTCCCTACTCATCCACCTCGTTCTCATCAACTGGGGTAGGTCTGCGCTTTCAATCTGGAGAAGCAAAAACCAGGATAGGCATAGTAAATTACCAGTCGAGGTTAGAAAAAAACAATCAGGTACCGCATGGGGAGGGGTGCTTAGGCTTTTTGGCTGCGAGTTAAAATGGTAGGCATGTACCATACTGTAAGATCCCCCGTATTTGCGTACCGTGGAAACATCGATACGGTACCTGGACCTTCCCCCTAAACTAGCTACAGTCAAGTCTCCAACTGGTCTGTTGCTCACTCCATTCGATCTCAGGAGAGACACAACAGCATCCATCCATCTTTACCTCACTAACTTCCCCGGTTCCCTACTTTGGCTTCATAACCTGAGTCTCTGGAGCTGCCATTCGCTTTCCCCCTCTTTCTCTTCAATCTCACCTGGACTCTTGTCTTTTTGCTCGAGTTCCCTCCCTTATCCCTTAGCCCACCATGTCGTCGGCTCTCAACGCGGTATGTTGTTTGCTTCCCCTTTCTGGCCTCTTTGCTTAGGAACATAATCCCGCCACTTCTTCATCCATTCCGCACAATTGTTCCGATTGGAGTCCAGTTACTACGACTCATATACCTGTGTCTCTGTTGCCTTACTATGAAGATCATAATCTGACATTCCACATAAGATTCGTCGCAAGAAAAATGTCAAGAAGGGTATCCAGTTCTGCTTGATGGTCTGTGGTGCTAGCGGAACCGGTATGATTCGAAGTCGTCTACCTGGCCACTGTTCCCCATACTGACCTGGTATCTCCTTTGCACAGGACGTACAACCTTTGTCAACACCCTCTGCGGAAAGAAAGTCCTCGAGAGCAAGGATGCCGACGATGCTGCCAGCGCTCACATTGAGGAAGGTGTCCGTATCAAGCCTGTCACAGTCGGTAAGTTGCCATCATTTCTTACCTAGAAGAAGAACCGGCACTGATTTCATAAATTCAAAGAACTCGAATTAGACGACGAAGGCACCCGAATTTCCCTCACCATCGTTGATACCCCCGGTTTTGGTGACCAGATTGACAATGAAGCCAGGCATGTAGAAACCAGTTCCGCATGTGCGCCTCAAGACTGACTGTTCTTCAGCTTTGGTGAAATCGTCGGATACCTCGAACGCCAATATGACGATATTCTTGCCGAAGAATCGCGAATCAAGCGTAACCCTCGGTTCAGGGACAACCGTGTCCACGTCCTCCTCTACTTTATCACACCCACAGGTCATGGCTTGCGCGAGTTGGATATCGAACTGATGAAGCGTCTTTCTCCTCGTGTCAATGTCATCCCCGTTATCGGAAAAGCCGATTCCCTCACCCCTGCCGAACTCGCCGAGTCCAAGAAGCTCATCATGGAGGATATTGAGCACTACCGCATCCCTGTGTACAATTTCCCCTACGACATTGAGGAGGATGATGAAGATACAGTCGAAGAGAACGCTGAGCTGCGTGGGCTTATGCCATTCGCGATTGTCGGCTCTGAAGATTTCGTTGAGATTGATGGACGGAAAGTGCGGGCCCGGCAGTATCCCTGGGGTGTTGTGGAGGTTGAGAATCCCAGACACTCCGACTTCTTGGCTATCAGAAGCGCTCTGCTTCACAGCCATCTCGCAGATTTGAAGGAGATCACCCACGACTTCCTCTACGAGAACTACCGTACCGAGAAGCTGAGCAAGAGCGTGGACGGTGCTGCTGCGTATGTTGCTCCTCTAATCTGTTTTGGTTCTGTTGTTATTCTTCTACATGATACTAATTCTCAGTTACAGTGGTCACGATTCCTCTATGAACCCCGAAGACCTTGCATCTCAATCAGTCCGCCTCAAGGAGGAGCAACTCCGTCGCGAGGAAGAGAAGCTTCGCGAGATCGAGCTCAAGGTGCAGCGTGAAATCGCCGAGAAACGCCAGGAATTGTTGGCCCGCGAAAGCCAACTCAGGGAGATCGAAGCCCGCATGGCACGTGAGGCCAGTCAGAACCAAATGGCCCTTCAGCCCGAGGCTGCCAACGGAGACGCTTAAATTCCTTATTTACATTGTCGAAGGCTGTTCTGTCAAAGCGGGACACAGTTTTGCAGGCTCGAACCGTCTGTGCTAACCTAATGGAACTTGTGGCACAGCGGGTTGTAACTGTTCATGGGTTGATATTGACCGTCTATTCACGTTAATAGCTTCGTCTTGCTGAGGGAGGACCAAGAAAAATGCAGCGCTTCATTTCTCGATGACCGACACCATTCCCTTATATGATAGAGCGGTATCTAAGACCAAGGGATGGTATCTGGGTGTTGCTTCCAACATTTGTTTTTCTCTTATTTACCTCGGGCCTTATATTTCTTCTCATTCCACTGGAGATTTCGGCGATCTTCAGAATCCATGTTGCAATGCCCGGTGTCCGGAATAGCTTTTTCTAATCTTTTACAGTTGCTGCTTGTAACGCTGACTCCAATACCTTTCTTAGCTCAGTTCTCCCTTCTCCTTTGTCTTTTTTGTCAACCGACACCTGTCCCATCTCAGCAGCGCCGCAAGATTCCCTCTGTTGTCGTTTCATCCTTTGTGTGCTCATAGCTTATGTCTTGTCTCTACTATCATTCTATGTTCAAGTTGAATAGTAGTATATGAGGAAGAAAAAGTACATTCTCTGCTATGTCCTGCGTAGTAGGATTGCAACCCATGCACATGTCTGTTTTGCCGGTCAAGATTTCCAAAACGACGAGCCATTTCTGCCAACATGTAAGGCCAAGAGAAAAATTTAAGGCCGGAGATCGACTAGAATGATTGTTATTTAATGATCCGGGGGTCCAGCGCCAGCTTCCCCCCACGATTAATTGAGCTAAAATTCTCGAGACAGCACATCGAGGTGTAGGAAGACAACCGGAATCGAACAAAAAGCGGGAGAATTTATATGTAGTAAAGAGAAGATGAAAGAATATAAGAGCAATGGAAAAGGGAACCGACACAGATGAAGTAAAAAGCGGTAGAAAAGGGAAGAAATTTGAAGAGACCAAAAAGCAAGTGGTATTTGCGCTTCATTGTACACAGGGGAAGTAAGCAGATGCTGACCTGACACAGAATAATTGATCAAATCAGCAACACAAAACATTAAGATCTGCGAGCTGAGCGATATCCCTTGAAAAATTCGGGGGAGTCAACAGCTGCTGAAAAGGAAGAGTCAAATGCCTCGTGTATGATAAGACGACTTTCTACGGGAAAGAGAAACATGTAATGGCATCGAAGGACAAGGGTTCTCCTTTTGTTTGCACCAGCCATTCAAGCGCCTCATTGTTGTTGCTGGGGCTTGTTCCAGAAATCCAAACTGGCTACTACATCCTCGCCTCCTTCGTCTTCGTAGGCGTACAGAATCTGAGACGGTATTAGCTATCCATTCAGTGGGATGATAATGTTTGAAATCTGAACACACCTCTCTTGTAGAAGAATGCAACATCCGAATGTTCTTTCCAGTCATGATGTGTATCAGCTCACTCGTCTCAATGTGCCGGATTTCGATGAAATTTGGCTCAAAGGCAAGGATATAAGGGTAGGATAGGGCAAACGCATTGGGGTTGCCCTCCCAGGAGATCTTCCAATCCGGGCGAGCTCGCCACCCGTTTCGGTTCACGAAGAACGAGAAATCGCTGTAGTTGAGCAAGAACTCGCCGTTCATTCGCTCAATATGAATCGGCTTCACGTTCTCCTTGCGTGCGACAAAATCAAGCGAGGTATCAGCCTGATCCAGAAGGGACTGCGTCTCAGTAGTCTCAAGACTGACTACCTCAAAACCACGAGCGCATCCCACACAAAGAGTCGAGCGGAGGAAATGAATGGACGATGACTCTGCCGGTATGTAATATTCCTAAAGCGAAGTAATGAGTTAACAGCGCAAATGTAATAGTGCAGCAGAATATACAAACCTTGAAGGGCTTCAGAGTGTCCTGACCGCTCTGGAACATCTTGCTCACGGCAGATTTCTTCTTGCCCTTTGCCAGGTTGTCCATGGGCTCGTAAACCTTGATAGTCGATGACAGAGCGGATGTCTTGACAGAGCACACCAAATGGCGTCCAAGCCCAATTCCCGCTTTGAAGAAGTTCGCGTGACCTTGGATCTTCTTCGGCCGCTTTGCCACCGAATTTTGACCCTCCGCAAGCTCGAGCGCCTCCATCGGATAGGACGAGAGTGTTTTGTTCGCTAGCACCAGGAGTAGTTGGTACTCCTCCAAGGTGTCGATTTGAGTGACCTGGCTAGCATCCAGCACCCGTCTCGGCTTCGCAGACTTATCCTTGGGCCAACGCTCCGAGATGAAAATGCCACTATCAGTGCCATACACCAACTTCCTGCCACCATCTGCCAAGAAAAGTTTAGCAAAATCTGCACAAAGCCTATTGCGCAAGAGGATAGTATCGGGAGTGGAAACGTACCAACAGGGACAAGGCAATTCACGCGGTTTGCAGATGTGAAAAAATTCGAACACAAAACCGTCTTGTTGTAGAAGTTACTATTCCGTTCTCTGAGCTTTCTTTGTTGCTCTTCGACCATCTCAATGAATTTCCTTCTTTGTGTTGGCGACGTGGCATAGAGTGTCTGCTCGTAGCCACCCTTGCCTAGATGCCGAAAAGTTATGGGCAACCCCTCTTTAGTGCTGGGAGGATTGGCGGCAGGCTTGTTGGAGAGCAAGCTGGACGACGGTCTCTTGGGGACTCCAACCTTGGGAATCACTTCGTCCATCTGTGCGATAACCAACAGTTCGAGAGGGATTGGTTTCCGGTAGACACGATACTCTTCGCGCTTGTTGACGACTTTGATTCTCACAAGCAATACTGCATGGTCGAAGAGATACGCAGTTACTTCGGAACTATCTGTTGGAGCTTTCCTGAACGCCATCTTAGTGAGCATTTGACGATTCTCCTCAGTCAACTTCAGGTCGACGTAATCGCCGGGGTTAAACTTCAGGGCTGAATTCAGCTGCACGAGGTTGAAATGGTTCTCGGCCCTTCCGCTCTCCGCGTTAACACGCGACAAGAAATCTTTGATGAGTTTGATGGCTTTGGGAATATCTTCTTTGTCCGGATTACCATCCTTCGTGTTTTTCACAACCTGTTCGAGAAGCAACGGATACCTTGCCAGACGAGTGGTGGGCTTGGTCAAGTAGCCGTTTAATTCCAGCTTCCGCGACTCCTTGAGCCGTTCAGTCTCTTCGACGAATCTTGCAAAAGCAGGGTTGGATGCCTTCTCCTTCTCAAACTCATATTTACCATAGAGCTGGTTGGCACCATACTTGATGAAAGGATCAAAGTTGGGTACATGCTGGAGGAATATGTCACCGACAGTCTTCACCACAGGGCTTTCCTTTTGTCTGGCGTTGAGGGCTTCACACAAAGCACCATTAACTTTCAGGACTTCCAAGCAATTGCCGAACACGGTACGGATAAATTTCTCGCGCCGATGCTCCGGGATGGGGGATTGGTTTGCGTTGCCGGCCGCACGCAAAGGTCTCATCCAGAAATCTCTCAGGTACTCCAGATCCTTGACAAAATCACGTTCTGTGTACATGATCTCGAAGATGATTTCCTGGCGCTTCTTTTCGCGATCGTCGATACTGTCAGAAACTTCCTTGGGAACCATATTAATCCAGAGTTTCTGATTATCATTGTCATCATCGCCGTGAAGGCTGGCCTTCGAGGCGGACGTGCGTAGACCTGGTTGCGGCTTGAGATTCAATCTTGCCTGTTGTTCCAGCCTTCTTGGACACGCAATAGAATAGCACAGACTATCGCGCGTGCAGGTGGGAGAGTAACATTCTGTCAAAAGCGTAAAAACTCCATTGACCTCGGAACTCGGCGCCTCTTCTCCCATGGTTTCCTTGAATTGATAGATTTCCCCCGGAGCGTCTCGAAGTCGATGATCGTACGTCACATCGTGGAAAAACTTTTGCGCATCGAGCGCTCGCCCCAGAAGAAGAGCAAGATTACGATCATTTGTCTTGATGATGTGAGCAATAAGATCCACAGCCTCAGCGCCAGAAAACGCATTTTGATAAGACAAGCCGTTCTTCTGTCGTTCTCCAAGCGGGATTCTCTCACGAAAGACGTCAGCGACCCGTGAGAGTAGGGCGGGATACACTAGTGGGACCTTGCTCCGGCGGGAATTGTTGGAAACTAAAGTTGTCTGATTGCTGGGTCTGTGCGTCATCTGGCTTTGCATGCTCATGGTCCGATCTGGTACGATGGTCGACGCCATAGACATAGCGCGGGAATTTGTTGACCCATCACTTGGCGGTCGCGGTCTCCCGTTTACACTCTGAGCGCTTGCAGGCTCTTCTTCGAACTGATGTGTCGGGGGTTGACTTGGGCCAGATGGCTGCCTCCTTGTAGGGATCACCCGACCTGTCTGCGTGGTGTGAGAATGGTCGCGATCCATGGAGTAGGATGTCAGCGACATTGCGCGTTCATTCGCATGCCTCACTGGCACAACGCGTCCTTGATCAGTTACCGGAGTTGTCGAGCTATACGGTTGTTGACGAAAAGCGCTTGCAGAAGTGTGATTGAAACTGCTGGGTGGCGGTTGTTGATACGTCGGCGGGCCACCCATTCGCGCCATTGACCTTGATCTGTATGCATCCGAATTCAGGGCTGGGGGAGGCATAGGCCGACTGTATCCCTTGGCATCTGGATACTGTGGGCCAGGAGCGGGTCTCGAATCTAAACGTTGGGGTTGAGGATAGACATAACGTCCGGGATATGGTCGTGGAGGATTGTGGGAAGATTGTTGAGCCATGGCTGCGGGTCCCGGGTATGCTTGATAGTGTCCGTTCGGAGCTGCCGGTGTGTAACCATTCAATCCCTGACGAGCCGGCTGCGGGGGTGGCCTTTGCATTTGAGGATGTGGCACATGCGATGACATTGTGTGGGCGCGATCTTGCGAAAACTGGGGCGTCTGCGAGTTCATTGTCTGGGAGCGTCCAGGTGGCGGTGCCCCGCCGAATATCTCTGAGAATGCAGCGTCGCGCTGGAAAGAGGAGGCATGTCCATAAGGCCGGTAGTTCCGGCCCTGCTGGCCACCGAGATCGGCCATCCTATCCCTTTATGTTATTTTCCGCTTCTACCTCTGAAGTTGTCTGGCTGGTGGAGATGAGCCAGACGCGGAGATGATTCGATACGGGGATGCGAAAACGGTCGTATAAAACGTTCAAAGCGTCAGAAGGTGATCGTTTTAAGTCGGGGAGGAGCAGGGAGCTGATGTCGTTGGATTACTCCAGAAGCGAGAGTTCGCCGGCCAAGCGAAAAAGAGAGTGAAATTAAAAGCAAGCAAGAGAGGGAGAAAAAGTCTTGACACAAGGCTTCCCTCGGACTCTCATTCCTTAATCCGAGTTTGCCCTGTCACAGATTCGAGCCTGGAAAAGGTCTTGAGTGATGTGTTAACGATCGAAATGCGCCAGGAGCCTTGAGCGCAACCGCAAGCTAGAGCCCCCGCTAATCATAACCTCAGCATTCTCTCTCGGACTAGCCGATCTACCGATGTGAGCCGACTCCTTGGTGGGGGCAAAATTCAAAAGCACCAGGCCCTAAACCGGAAGGGATCTCAAGATAGCGAGCGGGAGTGCGTGAGAAAGGAGGGGCGAAGGTCGTTAGGGAGGAGCAGTAGTTACAGAAGAGAAGGAAGAGGAGGAGGTAAGAGGTGGTCGTAGTACGTGCCGTCGTTGATCGATGTTGCAACGATAATAATAGCCAAGAGATACAACAGAGCAATGTATCGACGACGGGGGCAGGTTGATGAAGAACGGGACCGTCTCGAGATGGAAAAGCACGGGGGGGTTCAATGTTAGTTGGGTTGAGGAACAGGCACATGTCGCCCTTTACCCGGAGTGGCTAAGCCCGGGCGGTGGTGGCTCTGCGGCGATACGAATTAGTTAGATACATTACACCTTGAACTACGGTGGCCCGCAGCGAACAACTTGGTCAACCCTCGGTCTACTGGGAGATAGCTAGTTCGACACTACTGCTACTGCTTAACCTACTGTCGGCCGTCACTCGCCTCAGGAAGTACATATCGGGCTATCTACTTTTGTTTGCTCTTTTTTATCTGGTCGCATTCTTCTTTTACACCGGTCTTGATTGAGCTCGAAGCTCTACCTTGGTCCCGTTTTCTTGCCCCTTTCCACTCTGTTCTGACGGTTCGTCATCACAAAGATACTCAAAATGGCGGAAAGCGAGCTGGCTCCCAAATTCGCGCCATTTTTTTCCTTTGTAAGTATTCCAATAGAAACCTTGCGTTGGGATTGCTTCGGTCATAGGAACATCTGCTGACTGGAGATCGCAGGCGGGAATCGCATCTGCAGTGAGTTCACCATAGCTACAAGTCGTTCCTCTACGCTGTACTAACAACCTCTCGAAGATGATATTCGGGTGTACGTCTTGATTCGATCATGTATGAGATGGTATAAGATGGGATGAGACACTCACAACGTTACAGCAATGGGAGCGGCATATGGAACGGCAAAGTCTGGGATTGGTATCTCTGGTGTAGGAACATTTCGGCCGGATTTGATCATGAAGGTTTGCAGTTTTCACCCCGCGAGTTCCAGAAAATTATTTCAAGTAGATGTCCTAATTTCTTGACATAGTCCTTGATCCCAGTCGTCATGTCGGGTATCATCGCAGTCTACGGTTTGGTCATTGCAGTTCTCATCGCAGGAGACATGGCACCGCCTCCAACACAGAACATGAGCTTGTACACGTAGGTCACGCCACATCGAAGAGTCGTTGATGGTTCTGTTATTGATGTCTGAGACCAGAGGATTCATGCACCTTGCATCCGGATTATCGGTTGGCCTCGCGGGCGTGGCCGCCGGATATACTATCGGCATCGTTGGTGATGCGGTGAGCAACTTAGCAACAGTGCTTGTTTCTAACTTTGATGCTAACATTTTCTTGAGGGTGTTCGTGCTTACATGCAGCAGTCCCGAGTCTATGTCGGGATGATCCTTATCCTCATTTTTGGCGAAGTCCTCGGCCTTTATGGGTTTGTCTTCCCGCCTGTGCAACAAAGACATATCATTACTAACTGCTATCAGCTTAATTGTCGGTCTCATTCTCAACTCGAAGAGCAAATAAATCCTTCTCCTCCTCCGCGCTTCACACCGAATCCTTAATGATGTGCTTGCAACCCGAAGTACGTCCAGATCGATGTGCACAACTGCGCTGGTACCTCATGGTGTATATAACTGCGTAGCCAAATGCATGAGTTTCTTGGCTATGGTAAAGGCGCCGCGGTGTCTCCTTGTGGCAAGGGACAATATCTGCGCGGGTGATCTACTGGAAGCTTGTCCGTACGACTCCTCAGGGCCATTTTGTACTAGCTCCTACTTCACATTCCTGGACATGAAGATATATCTCGCACTTCTATGTTTGGCCTCCAAAATAACAATGTATATTCAGAGATAGCATCAGATGTAAGTCATAAAACCGATGCACTGCAACCGGGATCTGTCCGATCACGCTAGTGGTGCATGCCGAGTCCTTGACAGGCTGCCCCGCCAGTCGGTAACGTCAGAGCCTTGGTGCTCCGTGAACGCCGCCATGGACCATTGCTACTTGGTTCCGCGGCCAGAAGAGACGAACTTCAGCAAAAGCTCTTGCCTCCCATGAAAGATTGATCAAGGCTTGGCTTGCTTAATTGGAAATTTTCGCTGGTCATTTAACGATTGATCTTCCCATTTCTGCCTGCTTCGGCCAGTAGCCTTCGAAATTTGCAAATTCGTCACAACAACAGCTCCTGCGGCGTTTCTTTTTCTACCCCCCACATCCGTTCCCCGCTGTCCTCGAGACATGATCTCTTGCCATCCCAATGGCTACAGGAAAGGCCGAGCCTTCGACACATAGTGAGATTCAGAGCTCCTCTCCGTCATCCAGAGGGGTAGACACTCCCTTGGAAAACGTTCATGAAAGAGAAAAGCAGATGGTTGCGTCCTTCCGACCCCCTCATCAGAGATCGGTGAATCCTTTCGTCATTAAAGATCGGCCGGAGGAAAAGCAGCTGGGGATATCAACTCAAAGCCTTTGTGTTAATGATTTTACGCTAATCAAAACGCTTGGTACTGGTAAGTCTCGACGCAAGTGGCGAGGTCTGCAGTGTGCGATGTTGACACTGCTGGGGTGCATCCAGGTACCTTTGCTCGAGTGTGGCTGGCGAAATTCAAAGACGAAACGATCCGACGGGACAATGTGTACGCGCTAAAGGTGTTACGCAAAGCAGATGGTGAGGATGCATGTGAAAGCTTCTATCCGCATCTTTGGCCGGGCTGACGGGCGAGATATTCTGGGATTACAGTGATCAAGTTGAAGCAAGTGGAGCATGTGCGCAATGAGCGGAAAGCACTTGCTGCGGTTGCCGGTCACCCTTTTATCACGACTCTGATCGCGACATTTTCCGATGAACAGAGCCTATATATGCTGGTATGCAAGCCACCGCGTCTTGTGAAGAACGGACCTTACCATGCCCTGCATTCTGCTGGACCTCGTCGCCGTCGTATTTTATTGGTATCCTCGTCTGACCTTCTTTCTACTAGCTGGACTACTGCCCCGGAGGTGAGATTTTCAGCTATCTTCGCCGTGCGCGGCGATTTAACGAAAATACTTCGAGATTCTATGCCGCCGAGATCACGCTAACGATCGAGTACCTTCATGACGTTGAGGGCGTCGTTTACCGTGATCTGAAACCAGAAAACATACTCCTGGACGCTGACGGGCATATAAAGCTCGTTGACTTCGGATTCGCGAAGCAGATCAACGATCGCGAGACATACACGTTATGCGGCACTCCGGAATACCTCGCTCCTGAGGTCATCCACAACAGCGGGCATGGCCTCGCGGTAGACTGGTGGGCTCTGGGGATCCTCATCTATGAGTTTTTGGTTGGGCAGCCCCCGTTCTGGGATCAGAACCCAATGCGCATCTACGAACAGATCGTTGAGGGCCGCTTGCGTTTTCCTCCAAACATGTCGCCCGCAGCCCAGAACATCATATCATGTCTTTGCAAGACCAATCCGAGTGAGCGGCTTGGACACATATCAGGTGGCTCTGCGAGAGTCAAAGCGCACCCTTTCTTTGAGGATATCAATTGGGATGACTTGTTCCACCGGCGCATGAAAGGGCCCATCATCCCCCGAGTTGACCATCCCGCAGATACCGGAAACTTTGAGGACTATCCCGACGTAGACGTGAGGGGTCAGGCCATTTACACCGACGACATGAAGAAGAAATACGAAGCTTTGTTCAGCGATTTCTAAGACGGCGATCTCAACTCGGGACACCGGTCCCTTCCCTCTGATACGCATTCAACATGAGAATCATTGTAAAAAGTCTGGATCTCCGCCACGACCTTTACGCTGATACGGAACGCTCCTGCCACGACGTTACGAATTTTTGTATTATCGTTCTGCAACAGTCCATAAGGCCTACAGCCGCCCACCACCATACAACTATATATAAAGAGACAGCAGTCTTCAGCTCTCGATTGGCATGTCAAGGTTATTGATGACGAATAATCCGTCCTTTTCATTCCTTTTCTTCTCTGCATGTGTCATGATGTACAATGCAATCTGCCATCATTGTCTATATAATATATATCTCGTGTCCCTCTCATTGGGACTTTGTCCAATTGGTCTGCGTGTCTACTTGCCGCATCATCTGGTCTATATTTTCTGATTTCTAGAATGTAATACCCACAGGCTCATGAAGGCGGGATGGGTGAAGAATTCAACATAAACTGGGCGGTTTGAATATATAGCTACAGCTACTTGCAGCATCTTGTGCATGCAACCATTCGTCTACTTATCTCTACCATTTAATGCCCACGGAAATACAGGGACAATTCGCTCATTCTTCTGATTACATAGTCTATTTGATATACTGTACATGCAACGTATGCTTTGTTCATGAATAGTAGAGGATCGATCAGGCAGTGAGCTTGCTGACCGAAATGAATCACGGGTGGCCAATGTTATGCCGTCACCCAGTGGAATTAAATACAGTAAGGAGAGTGCCACCGAATACTTCCTTTCTTCTCCTTATTCTACGTGGAACACAGATGCGGCGCGTCAAAGTGACAGGCAGCGCTGTGGTTTTGACTCGGTTGTAGAAACCCATGCCACGCCTCTAGGGCGAATCTGTACTTTCTAAGGCTGACATGCACGCATCCGAAATGGTAAGATTCCACAACCGCGCCGGATTGGGAGCTCTTGAGTGACAGCTCGTCATTGAGAGTAGGCTCATTAAGGTGCTGTTGATTGAAAGCACTGTGTCCAGATATGTTCAGTGGACTCGGTCTTGGTAGGTATCGAAGTGACACCGGGACCCGCGCAGGGTAAGTAGGCTTCCTGACGCTTCAGTTCGAGCTTCGCTCGGACTCAGGAGCCGGGGTGTAGTTCCGCTTGTCCACAGGCCTGACAAGTCTCAGGTAAGGGTGGTTGCAACCAATGACATGATGATGCCGTACAGCCGATGTTTAGAGAGCCGGGTCTGTCTTCCATGATCCTGATGAATAAGGTCAGTTAAGCTTGTCTCTAGTGCAGCAGCATGTAAGAAAAAACGTACCACTAAAGTCGTGTTTCACAAACGCCATGGGGTCATCCAGATCGCCCGCTCCCATCTGGCCAACACCAGGACTGAAACTGGTAATTGGCAGAACCACAACGTCACCGACTTTTTTATACTCCCGTTGGTTGGTGAAATCTTCGTATGTGACGTTGTGAGTCGACCCCGGTTCGATGCTGAAGTATTCCGGGTTGTTGAAATATCTAAACACAGCGTCCGTCCATGCGGCGGGCCCAGTGAACTCCACGATAGTCTTATCCATCTTTCCTTCCTTGAGGATTCCCTTTTTCTTCATTCGCAGCGCCTCCTCGGTGATGTATGCGACAATATCGCGGAGGATCGGGTGCCCAGGCTTTGCCTGGATGGTCCACTGACAAAATTGGACCCGGCGCGAATACCAGTCGTGCCAGTCAGGCCGGTCGGGGTCGGCCTCTATTCCGATCACGAAACCGACCGTGGCGAGATCCAGCTCCCCAGGCAGCCAGTCGGCGGCGGGCTTGAGCGCGTAGGTATCGATGTCACTGTAGATGCCTCCACGCGCCAGCAGAATCAAGTACCGAAAGAAATCAGCCTTCAGGACGGGCAGGGGCATCGAATCGTATGCCTCGAACACTTCCGGGACCGAGCCGTAGAGGTACTTGATGAGATGCCGCTGAGTGTCGTCCGGGATCACTTCGTGGACAAACCCCGGGTGTAGTTCTGTCCAACTCGCTTCAGCGGGCCGAAGGTCTTCAGAAAACCACATGGATGCTGGTGTGTACTTCCATGTCTGCCAGATGTACGCGGGGAATCTGCTTTCGAGATCGTAGGGGAATTGGTACCGGAGCCGTTCGCGCAAGGGCGCAGTGGACGGTGGCTTCAACGGCTGCTGTTGTATAACCTGTTTCTGACTCGTAAGATGTTCATCTGCTGCTTGACTGGTGTCGTGCGCAGTGGTTTCCGTGTTGAGAACGGCAGGTTCGGCGGATGGTGAGGGTTGTGCGGATCGAAGGAGGACGACGAATGTAATCAGAAGGACGGCCGCAATTAGAGACTTCCTGAAGGTGAGCATTGTTGCGCGAAAAAAATCCCAGTAGCGCGACGGGAATCGATTGGATAGATGAGTTGTGAAGATAGATCTAGATTTCCTCCAGGGGTCGCCACGAGCTTCTCCACAGGCTCCGCAAACGATCAATGCAGGAGCTGAGTATTCGGATAGGGAGGAGAGGAAAGATCCGGGATCAACTCAATTCAGTGCCGGCCAGACATATCTGCGCCTATTATAGGACAGTATGAAGTATTGTGCGAGGGGGCTTGCGCGATCAGAATCGGTACACTCGGAGACAACGGGAGTGGAAGAGAGTCCCGAAGAATTCGTCACTCCCAGGGATGAATGAGGTCAGTAACAGCAACGAGCAAACACACAGAGAGTTGAACACAATGTACAACTAAGCAGAAGAATATGTGCAGATCAATGAAGAAGGGAAAATAAGGGAAAAAGGGAGAGAACGGAAGCTTTGAGAAAATAATATGGACTAGGA